GTTACCTTTTTCTTCTATATCGTGAAATTAAGGGCGTGATACTAAGTGTGTTTATGTACTACACATACATAAAGATACTTATGAAATTCCTCAATAAAAAAATTACGTAATCCCACCAATAAATGACAAAAGGCGTACCTCAGTACTTGGAATTGTGACCCGTTTATATTATGTCGCAATCGCAAGCGACTACGATTGTCGCACGACAATCAGTGCGACACACCGGACGCACTGAAACCAAACTATTACACGTAAATGGGAAACGGTATTTGTCTATTAATGTTGTCCCCTCGTATGTACGGGATAGTTGGGACTAATGGAAATATGGATTTTTGTGGAATGGATTTTTTTAGATGATGTGAAGAAAATTGTGGGGATGTTTTTCTTTAATATTTTTATATTTTTTATTTAGTTGGTATATGCTCTTGTTGTTTTGTTATTTTCTTTTTGTTTTATTATTTTTTCCCTAAATGATGTATTTGTTTGGACTGTGAGTGTTTTTACGAATTGAATATTGTGAAATCTATCCGTGAAAACCTGTAATTGGCTTTCTGGTATTATTTTATTATCTATTTGTTTGCTATGTGTAGCTGTTGGTTTTCCAATTCATAAATAAATAAAAATATATATATATAGGCTATATAGCCTACCTCTAATATAATATAGCCTACCTCTAATATAAGAAAGAACGATAAAAGAAATCCATTTGAATAGAATTAGTGGAATGCGAAGAGCGGAGAATCAAGCTCAGAGGTCTATGTCCAGCAGTGGATGGAAATGACCTGATGATCATGATGGCAATGAAAGTTTTGGATAGGTCGTCTTCTTGTTTTGGGGTTTTCCTCTTTTCTTGATGTTTAATGCACCACACACCCAGACCCGGAACAACAATCTATGGATCACACAAAGAGTTGCTCTGTGTGAATCAAACCCGCAACACGTTGCGCGGCAGCCGCCGCACCAACAGTGCAGTCAATCTTACCATGTATGTGAATTTTCAACGAAAACCTTAAAAATCATCACCACAAACGCCCTCAACATTTTCCCATCATCTAGTTAACTAAAAATAGGCATAAACACGTACGTAGTAGAGTCTATTAACGTCACCCCAAGCTCCCTGCGCTTGCGCACTCAATTGAGTGAATTCGCCTCTATTGAGCAGATTACGCCGAGGTTTGTACAATTACGGAGGGGAAACGGGGGAACTAGGGAGCAATTGTGTATACCTAAATGTTATGAGGAATTCTCTAGATATATTGGTGATGGGGATTTCTGGTTTTTGGGGATACTTAAGGTTTGTTTGCGTGAAAGATAGATAGATGTTAGAGTATGTGAGTAAATAAAGATTGTAGTAGTGAGTAAAGAGAATGTGTAAATAACATTTGAAGTTAAATAAAATCGTTATTAAACACAAAAACTGCCAAAAGATCCCAAATCTTGGGGGCTTGTTGAAAGCTATAAATAATTGTGAAAAATGTAGTTAATTAAATGATTACAGACAGCGCCTACGAGCGTCATTATATTATTACTGGTGCTTAGAGAATCATTATACTCAATCAAATTTGTTTGGGGCTATGCAGGAGACACCTGGCAGTTGGACTTTGAACTTTTTGGAAGATATAGTTTAGGTTTAGATTGGTTTGTTTGGTCTAACTTTGATAATGAGAATAATCTTCAAAATGCTGTAGACTAGATCAAACGTATTGTTTATTTTAACTTTTAAAAACATCAGTTAAATAAAAATTTTCAACTAATTTTAATGAAAAAGAATCATTAGTAATTAATCATGTTTACTTTGCCGTTGTAATTAAACTATAACTTAACTTTCCGTAATAAAATTTACCTAAACCAGTCAGTCCAGAACGATTGGCATTTGTTTTCCAAAGTACCCTTTCTGCGTGTAGACGACAATAAGACAATATGAACAGAATATACTACAGAACAGAATATAATACTTCTACACGCAATATAAATCTGTGTACTTCTTTAGCAAAACCAGAGGTTACCGTGTACCTACCATTAAACATAATGAATGATCTTTCGTCAGTTGAATATTTTATCGTCTCTAAACGCCTAAAGCACACACGTTTGTACTCAAATACTTAATAGATAGACAATTTCACGAACTTTCTACTTACACTTACAAAACTCACTTAATGACAGTTCAGTGTACTTTGTAAACAAATATTTGTGTGAAATCGTTAATTAAAAACGAGAAAATAACCGAAAGAACGATTGTACTTAGAATAAATTAGTGTTGTGTCATTTTTCACGCGAGTGTGTAAGAATGTGGGACTTTTTTGGTAACTGTAGTAGATATGCTGAGAATACCCGATATTTGTAAACGCATATGATTATCGAAACTGTTAAACTCTTTGTTTACATTAATAATGAGTTTTTTTTTAAAGAAATTGTGTGAGAATTCAAACTATTGAGTTGTGAGTCCACGAAATGCCGTTGTGTGTTCTTTGGCGGTAAACAAGACGTTCTATAGACTAGATAGAGACTGTCTATGATTTATTCAAGATTTTTTTTTTATTTTATTTTAGTGGATTTATAACTCTTTTAAATGTTTTTGATAATAAATCAAAGATAGTAGTGATGCGTCGTGACGTCTAGTGCTGTTACCCGTTAATTAAATATAATTTATTTTTGAAAACTTACGTCATTTTAGTAGCTAATTTAAATTAAACGGTGCAGTTGTGTTACTGGTTTTCGTTGCATCGATGATTTATTTTTTAAATCCGTAACTAATTATGAGCTAGATTTTTCTTAACTTTGACCGTCTGGGTTTTAGTATGATTTTTTAAGATTTATCTTCAATTCTCGGGTTGATACTAGATTTTCTAGAATACCAAATTATACTAGATTGAAAAACAAGATTTAGAAGCTGGTTCAAATACTATAGCACAAAAAACTACCCCAAACTATAAAATAACTTCAATACAATGTGAACTTTACCATCTTATTCCTTAAATCACAAATCAATTGCAATAACTTCACAAGTTTGAATACCTTGACATCCTAGATCACACTTCATAGTCTCTAAGAAGGCACACTACTGGCACGCCACCTGTCATTGGAGGCACGAACTAACTGCGCTCTAGGAATACATTATCAGGCTAACACTAGGATATCATACAGTCATTAGGTCTATTGTTTATTCAGCCATTGCTTGGCTACAGGTGTGGTTGTTATAGGCTTGTTGTATGTTATATATTGTAGGTTTCTATGATTTGTGTTGGTATAAGCGATTTAGTCTCAATTTGACAAAAAAATTTATAGCATAAGCCGGTAAACGAGCAGACAGATCACCTAATGGTAAGCAATTGGCGCTGCCCATGGACACCCGAAACATCAAGGCGTTACAAGAGCGTTACCGGCCTTTTGGGAATTGGGAATTTGAGGATCGTTGGGGATTCAGTGATGTGGGAGATTGGGGAAGGGGAGGGTAATTGAGCCACCAGTAACCTCACTCACACGACGAACACAACGCAAGCGTTGCTTCACGTCGGTTTTCTGTGAGGCTAATGATAATAACAAGATAATATAGGTTGATGGACAAAACCTGCCAACGGCCAGTACTAATGTGACTTTTTCCGAGTTATATGTACTTTCTAAGATTATCTAGACACCACTGACAAATGGTGAAGGAAAACATCATGAAGAAACCTAGACTTATGGTTTCTAATTATAAGTTTGTAATCACCAACCCGCAATGAGCAAGCATGGTGATTAATGCTCAAACCTTCTCTATGTAAGAGGCTTTGCTCAGCAGTGGGCATTTATAGGCTGTTGACGATGGACAAAAACAAAAAATTAAACATATATACGTTAAACTGTCAAACACCGCGAGGACACCGGTGACCGCAACCTATTGTTCTTTAATTGTGTCTACAATGACGGTACTCAAAGAGTTAAAAAATACGTAATGTTGTTTGTTTATTTCAAGTGACAGTCACCAATACCTAACCCAGTTTACATTTTAGTTCTAACTTTCGAATTCTGAAACCTACGTCCTAATTGTTACTAACACACTTCAGTGACATTTAGCGAGCTAGGAATACTAACTAAACGTCCTAAATAACCTAGTTTTGTTATTACGTCAAGTTTAACTCGGTAATAGGTAATGGGTTTAGAATAAACTGCGTTTTATGGAATAGAAGGCAAATGAGCAGACGGATCACCTGATGATGGTATGCGATCTGTGCCGTCCATGGACACCCGCAACTATAGAGGAGTCACAAGTGCGTTGCCGGCCTTTTAAAAAGGAATACGCTCTTTTATTGAAGGTTTGAAGGTCATATCGGAACGCAAATACCGCCGATAGATCATTCCACAGTGCGAGGCAGAAAGCTACGAGATAAGCCGCACAGTGGTATTTTACTTTGACCAACAATTATTGTAAAATTTTGAAAAGACATTAAAACGAGCTGTTGTCGGTTCTGCTACTACTGATTGGCCATGTCGATGGTATATTTGATTATTGATTATTAAAAGTAAGAAATCTAGGTAGATAAAGAAATTACACTTTTAACTTTTTGATTCAAAATAAGGTGTCTGTACTATTCATAGTTTTTATTAGTTTTGCGTCATTAAAAATAGATGAAAGTCGATTATATTCAATTTACATTGTGGGTCAGACATTTTTATTCGATATTTTTGATAAATTGTGATCTAGATTCCATTAATATAATCCATTTATAAATATCGCGTAAAATTAATTCGTAAATCATTCAAAAACTAAACATTTATTTATTATAATTTATAGTCAAGTTATAAGATGAAAGCACCAATTATCGTCCACGAATCCAAAAAATCGAATTACACTTTTTATTAAAAAGGATTTTCAATTTTTATTTTTATGTGTATAATAAATCATTTGCGAAGTAATCGTTCTAATAATACTAATAAAATTCCTACGCTTTCGATATTATTTCGTGAATGATACGGAGAGTAATTAAAAAAGTCGTAAGATGTTTTTTTTCGTTTTTACTCACCGCTCGCCTGCAGTTTTCTTTCTTGAGAATCATCCGCATCCATTGATGATTGCTTTTGGAAGAAACCCTAAAAAATGAAAAGTTTTATATTTTTAATTGATACTCTTTTTCGGGGTATTTAAATTTTGATGTCTTTTTACATTTGGATTGGTATGAATCTTTAATTATAACAAAAAAATCATTACCTTTTTAACAGATTAAACTACGTACGTTTTAAGTCTAATTTAAATTAAAATCAACAACTTTATCGATTGAAATTCCTAGTCACAGAACTAAGTCTAACCTATGTCTATTTTTAGTAATAGAATCATTTTCTGTCACCGCAAGACTAATACTATAACTGGAGAATAATAACACAATACAAACACACCTCTGCCTATCCTTTACTCCAACAGGTGGTATATAAAATCTGTTGCTAAGTTAAACACTTTTATTTACAAAACGGAAATGCGAAACTAGTTTTAAAACGTCCAATTTGTATCTGTTGTTTTTTTCTCACAAAGTAATTTACATAATCTCGTCTCTATTCATCTTTGATCTAACAATTTTATTGTATAAACAGATCCATTAAATAGTACAATACACACCTGCATTTGTAAATTAGCTAGATCCTCTAAATTTTTCCTCATCAAAAGATTTTGTTGCTCAAATTCTGAAACACTGTTGGCGGCGCTCGAGGTCGCCGATTGTTCCTACAGAACAAAAAAACATCGTTATCAATCCTTATATCTAATTTTACATTCTATTATAATCGCATACCATTCATACAAGCAATGTCCGGATTATTGTCAATTCCAAAGAATCGTACTTTAGAGCTTTAAATATCATTGAACTGCCTCGAACTCGAAAAGGAACAAATAGGTATTTTATTTATCTGTCCCGAAGCGAACACGCTAATAAATCTCCTTATGGCGAGAATCCTAAAGTGCTGATATTAAAAATTATGACGATCGCTATAAAATTATGTAGGTAAATAATACTTTTAACAATTTGCATATTTTCTCATAGTATTTTTTTACTACTATAAATCTTTTTTACTACTATCGTTCTCTGAATTCCTTGCTAAACTTTGCTATATAGACCCACCTGTCCATCAGTATCTCTTGATACGCTAAGGTCAAGAGTTTGATCTCCGTCATCAGATCCACTTCCATCCTCCTCTGGACCTTGAGATCTGTTGAACAGCCTCATTGATTGCTGGTTAATGATCTGCAGAGCCCTTTGCCTGAAAATGCTCTCAGTGTTAATTACAAGTTCCAGTTTCAGGTTATAATGAGAGATCAAATCTATTTGAGTATACCTCTGAGCCTCAATGTCGTTATCTGGGGTTTTCGGTGGTGTGATGTTTGTGGAACCCTCATCTTCAGTAGCTGATGAGGATCTCCTCATACTCCTGTCAGTACCATCTTCCATTCCAGAATCATGCCGCCTTTTCAAACCTAAAGGCAGTTGCGTAAATGGTTTACCTGTAAAGTAAATATAATTTAAGCCACCATCAAAAACAAATAAATACAATGATTACGTTGTAAATTTTACGGTCGTAAAACTAAGAAGATTATTGTCATCTATTTTATTATAGTGTTAAGTTTTTTGCGTTTTATAAACTCACCTTGGAGAGCTTCTAAAGCTCTGATCTGTCCACTGATAGCATCAGCGACTTCATTAGAAGATAATCCGTATATTCCGAGTAGTTCCTTCATGGTGTTCATGGCGTAATCTCTTAATATTCTATTTGTAGCATTTGATGCGTCACCATTCTGTTGAGTCTCATTCGTTTCCATCTGCTCCTGGTTTTCCTCTAATCTCTCATTTGCATTTATATCTTGACCCTTATCTTCGTCAGAGTCTGAGTCCCTTCTCCTTGGCGGTGAGTTAGTCTTTATTAATTGAGATATAGCAAAAGGATTTTTGGCACAAAACGTCTTATTTTGTAAATTACTAAAGTTTAGGACGGTCCGATCTCTCTCGGCGCCCTGGTTTATTTGTAAACTATGTATGTACGAATGTTGAAACGAGTCTACTTTCTTATCCTCCGGTAACCTATTTTGGTAATTTGAGTCTATGTTTTCATTGGAGTCAGTGCTCAGTCTTCTGCTTAGGTCAACTGCACCACCTTTTAGGAGACTGAAATTTTTGACACCAATTTTAGTGTAATTGCCATCGTCTTTGTCGTCTTCACCGATATTTTCTGGGGTCGTTCTATCGTTTCCATTGATAGGACTGCCCGTTTCATCACAGTTCGCTCCGTTGGAGTCGTCCGAGAATGCTGTAGTGTTGGGAGCACATCGTGGTTTGAAATTCTTTCTCTTGTTTCTTTTTGGCATGTTATAGTATGGGGACATGTCGGTGCTGTGCTCGTCCTGGTGGTCGGACGACTCCGGCCATGACGACGCTTCATGGTGCAGGTACAAAGGTTCCTCAGGTGCAGGCTGTAGTCTCTCGTGGATAGATTCTTGATGAGCAGCCATCGCAGTAGTCATTGCAGTATTTGGACTCTTTCGAGGATCACAACCTGAAACGAGTCCGTCCTGCAAAGACAAACGAACACGTTCAGTTTTATATAAACAATCAAATTTAAACTCAATACATTTTAGCGTCCAATCATAACAGTGATTCATTTTCGTTCAATTTAAATTGAAACAATGTGTTGAGAAGAAACAATAGTCTTTTGTTGACAATAAGATTAGCTGAATACTGTGGAATGTTTTGAATTTAAATTTTCTCTTCATTGTTTGGAAATAATAAAATTGATTATTAGTACATTTTGTTGTTACCTGGGGAGAAACTTCATGGACCTATCATTTCCTAATTGGCTTAGTAATTATTTTAATCAGTCTTCAAGATCAGCCAATAAACTGTGCATTATCTGAAACAAAAAAGGCCTCGTATAAGTAAATGTAGTAAGAGCTTAACGGCTAAACAAGTTTGTTCCAAAATTGAGTAAAATTACATATCACGGATATAAAATATACGATAGATAATGTGGTCTAGTCATTAATTTCATATTATTACTATAAAATTACTTTTATAATGAAATAGACGCTAAAAATCAGCGCTGACACGGAACGTATTAAAGCAAAAAATTCTTCAAACACCAAAATTTCGCGTAAACCAATTTGTTGTTCAAAAAACGTTCCGTTTTCTGTCCGTATTGACGTAATACGCTGTAATTTAAAAATAATTATACGAAAAAAAATCCACATCAAGTAACACGCATCGATCAAGTGAGTCGGTATGAAATTAATTATATTCAACATATTAGATCTATTTTCGAGAAAACGAGATTGCTCGGAGCGAGGCGAGAAAAAAAACGTGTATTCATGTCGAAATTGGTAACGTGGTTTGGGTGTACAATTACTTATTAAAAACTAATACAAAGATACGGCCTTCGTTCGTGGGTCACACAATAACTATCGATCTCTCGTTAAAGTAAGTGGGACGTCTCAAAATCGGTGTGTTTACCCTACTTTTTGATTTCGGCCGTTGACTTTAAAACGTTTGGATCTCAGTTACACGTCTGATCGCTGTAATAAGTAGCCGACAAGTAATTGGATGAGTTATTTTAACTTTTGCCGTTAAGTTTGTGGTCTTTTGACTGGTTTGATGTATGTGAGGAGCGAGTTAGAAAGTAGATTGTCGATTGATATAAATAAATTCTTGTTGAATTATTTTTCAATTGAATTTTTATACATTGAACACAACTTGTTACCATGATTGGATATACCTATATTTTAACATGTTTAAAGTAAAAGTTAGAGTCAAAAGTTATGTCCAATTAGTTTTGTTTTCACAAGAACCGAATAATAAGTACTTGTCAACAAAAAACATACATTTTGAAGAGTTGACAGAAAAGTTTCCAAGCTGTGTAGATATTGCCGGTTTTAACATTATAATAAGTGAATGATCTAATAACAGAGCACATGTTTTTGAATTATTATCATAAAAAATCATCGTCAATGTCTGTTCAAATCATTAGGTTAAATGAACACGAGTTTTGAAGCTTCGTTATGGAGAATTAATGTTTCTTGTAAATAGATTTTTGCTATTAATTAATGTTGAATGTGTAGGTAATAGGTATTGGAATTTGGTATTTTAGTATTTCGGTTACTTTATAATGAGTTTCAGAATGACTGCCTCGTTGGCCGAGTGGTCGCAAGTGTGACTGCTGGGTTCGATTAGCGGGTCGGTCAAAGTATTACTAGGATTTAAAAAAAATCTCATAAGCAGCACGGAGTCTGGAAATATGTATTACATGGGCCTCATAACATAAGTAGTGAAAAACGGTTGTTACATTGTACAGTGGCATTAAGTGCCGTAATGTGCACCTCTGCCTACCACTTTAGGGATAAAACCCATTGGTGCTATGCATGTTATGTTTTACACAAGTCATTGAACATTTTAGACGGAGCTCTATTACTGCTTATCGTTGCTCAATACAGTTAAGTTAGGTACCTACTTATATTTTTTCAATAACTTTTCTTTCTAAGAATTAAAGTATGTTTAAATTAAAATAGAATGCAATTATAGATTATACTTGCAAACTGTCGTAGTTTAGTAAGCTGCTACAAACTTAAACAAAAAATATTAAACAAAATGACAGTGGTCTGTGTTTTAAACCTCTTAAGCTTCGTTTGTTTGTTTTATTTCGTTTCAATAAACCCTGTTAAAGTTTTGACAGGTGATAAACCGAGATTTACGTCAGACTAAAATCATTAGTAATTCATTTTCGTGGTTCTAATGCAGGTATTAGTCAAAAAAATCTTGTTTTTTACCTCTTTTACCTCAAAATTGTTAATCATAGGTTTTTCCAAAATACATAGTTTTTGTTCTACTTAATAAATAAACAGAAGATTAAAAGGAAGAAAATTTTGATTGTTTATTTGTTTGCATGGAGTAAGCTTCAAAACTAGTAGACTGATTTGGCGAAGTTTTACACCATTGATTGGAAAGCTTACATTTATGTACGTAGTACCTACCATTTTTTTTGTCGATTCTTACTCTTAAAATGCCATACAGACAGAAGCGTAGGCCGAAAGCTACACCTTCCACTAATAATTGTTAATTTTACTACACGACCGATTATAGGTACCTTCACCCTACACTAGGCATGTGACACTGTTGACAGTTGTAAATTATCGATGTCATGTGACGTCTAGAGACGGGATATTATCGATATGTCGATCTAAGACTTTCCAAAATTGATATTTGTGATACGTTTGTCGTAACAATGGACGCAATGTTTTGTAACTTGTTTTAAAAGTTTAAAATATTGTTGTTACCGTAGGCGTACGATGTTATATAATCAAGGTTTTTGTAGACAATGTTTAACTTATTGGCAATTGTATTGTATTAAGTTAAGAAGTCATAATAATAGTTGAGAATTCGGGCATTTCCTTGAGACACAGGAACTGTTTTCTGTGATTAACACTTAAGGACTCGCTAATGGGTCTAACGGACCCAGTTGTTTAATTTCTTTGTAATAACTTTTAAGATTTGACGTTTGCGATGTTGCCGTTCTTAGTACCTTTCAACAACAGTGTAGCGCGGCAAATGCCGGTCGTATTCTTCAGTTAACGCGCTGCGTGTGAGTGCTACAAACGTATAAGGTGCGTATGGGTCCTCTGGACCCGGTAGCGACTAAATACGTAAGCGTTCTTTTTTTCATGATAGTATTATTTTTAGTCTTGTTTTTTGTTTATTTCATAGCAAAATGGCTTCTAATAGGCCGTTGAGACTTGACTAAATATAAGACTATTGTAATGAAGCTATTCTTCTATGTACTGGTGAAAAAAAGAAACCGAAAATAATAACCGACTATAATGAAATGTAGAGTCGATATAGTTGACCAGATGATTGGTACGTATTCTGTGTCAAAACGAACTCAAAGATGGCCCCTGTGTATATTTTTCGAATTATTGAATATTGGTGGACTAAACACTTATATTATTCAGAAGGCTAATTATTTATCTTCAGATAACTTCGCTCTAGGAGATTTCATCAAAACCTTGGAAATTTCTCTGATTCAACCGCACCTATAAGTCAGAATTTCTATCATAAACACTCCACAGCATATCAAAAACCGTATCCGAAATATAATTCGAAAAGTCGACCCAACTGCGGCATCCAACTCATCCTTGCCAATTGCTGGGCGAAAAGTACGTTGCGGTCTTTGTAAATGAAAAAAAAACCAACATTTTTGGTATAAAATGCAATATAGCCATTTGTAGAGAATACGTGAAACACGTGTGTCCCAATTGTTTTAGTAAATGAGAAGAAAAAAAAGACTGTTGATTTTGAATGATTATTTTATCCCAAAAAAGCTATTTGATTTTGTTGATTTTCAATGATATTTTTATTGTTTTCTTTTAGTATTGATCTCTTATTGTTAATTGTTCTTAGTAGGTATAACATAGTAGTATAAGAAAATATAGAAAGGTATTGATAAAACCACTAATTAGAGAAGTTTTCAGAATTATACTTAATCTTGTCATAAAAACATGCCAAATAACCGTAAATTTTTGTAATAACTTGTTGATTAAGAAAACGAAATAAATATTACTGTTTGATTCATTATTTTCTTTGTTAATTAACATATTATCCCTAGTAATAAAGTATTTTTCACTTTTATTTAGTATTTCTGGAAAAAAAATTGAATATTGTACTGGGTCCAGCGTACCCGGTAGCGACTATGGGTGTTACAAAATAAGGCGCGAGTCCTTAAGTGTTAACAAACACATTACATAACATCACGCCTTTTATTCCCGAGGAGGTAGGTAGAGGTGCACATTACGGCACTTAATGCCACTGTACATTTATGTTAGGAGTTCCATGTAATAGGGGGTGAGTCTATTGCCATATACAGTTCCAGACTCCGTGCTACTACTGATACATTTTATATAAAACCTAGTAATCGAACCCAAAACACCTTCAGGCAGTCGCACTTGCCACCACTCGGCCAACGAGGCAATCAACATCTAAATAAGGATTTTAAATAAATAACACAGCGTAGACATAATCTTCAACACTAACAATAATAATAAATTAACTAATTTACAATCAATACTCAAACAACTGGCTTTTATTAATCAATTCAAATGAGGTAATCGACCACAATACGGTTTTCTCTTACTCATATCATAACGCCATAACATTACGAGGATCAGCAGTATTGAAGGGTCCCCAATGTCCTTAGGACGACAAAAGTAAAACAATCATGGATGTTAACAGCCACTTTAAAGGTAGCACACACCTATTTTGGATACAGCCTTCGAAGGAACAATATCCAATAATAACAATAAAACGATCGCAGTTATGCGCGCGCGCATTATTAATATTGATCGGGATTCAATATGGCGGCCAAGATGGCGTCGCGAATAGCGGAAACGGATTAAATTGAAATCTAGATTGGAATCTAGTTGTTTGTTTAATGATTTAATTTAGATTGTGATGGTGGTAAAAAAAAGTTGTATCTTTTGTTTGGTTTTGAAGTTGTGATGGTCGTGGTAGGCTGTCGGTTGCTATGGGGGGTAAACTTTCGACTTAACTAAAGACAGCTTACAGTATTAAGGTTAGAAGTTCTATGATCTAAATATCTATTCTGACTCCGGACATAGTATTGGAATATGTATCAGAGACATTTTAGAAAATACTTTTTTTTAAAAGAGTACCTATTGAGATTCTTGCTCGTTCTCCTCCATTCGAATCTACATTTTGGAATGAGCACCTAGCTTCACCTAGCTTCACTGACGGACTATTATTTATTTTGTATTTGTTGACGTTTCGAAAGTACCAAATTATGGTTTAATTGAAATAAATGCTTTGATGTGTCCTATCTAATCTCCAAGTAAAATTAATATGATTGTGGTACAATCGATCTCTTTAAAAGTACCCTTAACCGACGAGCATGCATGAAAAGACTGATGACTGTTGAGGAAGTGAAAGAGGCAAGCAATTGGCCCAGTCTCTACCTACCGCGGAGGATTTAACGGGTTGCCGGGGCTCCAGCTCGACGTGCAGGAGAAGGAACGGGGTGGTTTTTAATCAGGAAGAGTCTGACATTCCCTCCCGCCTCACCTAGGCGGGAGAAGATTCAATGATTTTCACCCCTTAAAAAAATATAGTCGCTGCCTACCTTAAAGGAGACAGGCATTAAGTTATATATATAGTATATACATATATGTACAATCGATCTCTGTCTAAGTAACTTATATTAAGTTGGTATGCAATAAAAATATTATGTCACATCTGTTAAGCTCTTTGGGGAACAATAAACCAACCATTGTATTAACATACAAGCCTAACCAAAGTACATTCGATATTGTTTTAAGACCTATCTACGCAGTGACACGGGGCAAGGACGCGAAATGTCGCAATTAAAAACTTACTTTACTCATTAAATCCAAATAAAAGATAACAAAAATCTTATTCTACCTTATCTTTTCAATCGTTATTGTGAATTATAAGAGATTGCCCAAAGCCTCAGTTTCAAATCTATTTCAGTTTAATTATAATTCTTGACCTATGACATTGGTTTTGTGAAATTTGAGTCCTATTTAAACGGCTTTAGAAATTATATTGGGATAAACAATAGCCTTTGATTGCGTTTATTTTGTAATCGGTAGTTTTGAAAATAGAATTGCAATGTCTATGTATTGAATTAAAAAGTAAATGTGATTTTGTCTGTTGTGATTTGTGTATCTAGTTGATAAATGTGTAACTTATATTTGTACGTAGTATTTGTATCATTATAAAAGAAATTAAAAAAATAATAATTTTAACAACATCAACAGCTTACATTAGCATTAGCATTAGCATTACTTTTAAGGCATTAGCATTACTTTTAAGGCTTTTTCTATGTAAGTATGTACATAATTTCAGTCTTACCTTAGAATGTTCAAACAATCAAACAAGCAAACAATAATTTTGATATAATTAGATATTTATTTATTGAAGCGAAAGAGGTATGTAGGAATCGCAGTAATTGGCGTTCCTTAGTCTCTGCCTACCCCCATAGGCGTGAAGTTATGTATGTATGTATTTATTTATATTAGTTAAAATCAGTGTTAAAAATGTGTTACGAAATAGTTATCTAACAATAGATATAATTGAACGACATTCCTAACTTATTAGAGATATCGTCAAGGTCCATTTGTACTGAGCGCATATATGTTTTTGTTGCAATACTTTTGTGTAGCGTCAGCAAAAGAACATGATGGAAAAACAACAAATTCTTGGTTATAATTTAAAAAACGAATGACAAAAATCGAATGAATAACGAATTTATAAATAATTCATTCATTAGTTCCTTTTATTATTTATTATTATAATGATAAGGTACCAGTATTATGACAGTTGGAATATTATTCAAAATCGAACAATAAAACATTAATACAAATCAAAGACTTAAACGTCTAGAAAACGTTTACAAGACAAGACCTCACAATGTGTTTGGACAAATAAAAATACATTAACCAGAGTAAATGACCAGAATGAGCCAAAAAACCCATAACTAGAGTCATTAATCATTTTTCTTTAAAAAGTACTTTATAATATTTGTCTTGCTGGCCGTACAGAATTCGGTGTAGCAAAAAAAAAACCGAAACGGAACGAATGCCATTTCGTAATTTGAATTTTGTACATTCCATTTTTATAAATCTATTTTTATTTGAATTTAGAATTACATAGCAATTCGAATTAGATTTATTTTAACTTGGAATGCTATTATAGAGGATGTGTTTATTTTATAATTAAATTTTCGTTATATTTTTGATGCTGACGGTATGTAATAGGATATAAAATGCCTAACAGAGATATTAGAATGTTAATTCAGCGAATGTTAAGCTGACAGCTCACCGTTATGATACTTCGGTGATTATTTATTTAATTTACAATCGATATGACAAGCAAATAATTTACAAAACTTAGGTAGATACTTAAGTCTTAAGTTTATATTATAATACTTAACGTCTTTGAAAAGAACTTTAGGCTTTTGAAACAGTTTAAAATAATAATATTTAGACGTATCGGAATGAAATGTCAGTTTTCTAAATAATTTAACTTTAATATTATTGTTCCAACCAAACAGGAGACAATTTAATATAGATAATGTGATAGTAATATAGTGTTTATGTAACAAAAATAAAACAACATGTAGGATACACTTTTTGTAGACATTTAGACAGTCTATAGATCTTTCCGAAGGCAGTATAGTCGACAACATCGTATTGGAGACTTGGTTGCCAAGGAAAAAAAAAGATATCTACCAAGTGTCAAACTGTCGGCTAATAACAGATCGATTTTTAAAACCTAAAATTTAATTTAAAATCTTTACACATAATAATCTAGAATCTGAAGCAGCAACCGTACGATTTTTAATCAATAGAAACAATATTTATATGTGAGCTACCCACGTTTTATACTTAATAATTATGTGAGTTCATATAAAAACTTCGCCCGTGGCTAAAACACATAAATTTTAATATAGAAAACTTGCCGATTTTGTTTTAGTAGTAATAAACCTAATTATTACGTCTCCGTGTCTGTTTTATTGAGGTAAAACCGTTTATTTATAATAAAATATATTTATTTGTAAAAGTAATTTGTAAGTAAATTATATAATATTACTTTCAATGTATAACAAGAATTGTACAAAAAGAAATAAGTGTTCATTTTAATTATATTTCAAGCTTAAGAAGCTTCTACTGCCTGTTTTTCTCAATAACGATAAGTATTTATAAGAATATTTATCAATACTATAAGATAATCTTTCAAAAATTCACGCTTTAAGCACAAAACATTAACCAGTCCAATTAAAACTCATTTATAATGAATATTCAAAACTTAACAACACAGACAGAGTCGCGTGCGCCGCTTATAGAGTTATGTATGGAAAACAGATAAGACATACGAGTTGCGCCCACGCATCTAACTCGATCTAATTAAATTATAATATCGATACGAAAACGATTGAGTCGATTACTTTTTTGATAAAATTTTTCAAAGTAAGTAATTGAGTTTTTTTAATAATAATTTAGAAAGTTAGCACGAGTAAAGAAACGTGTAATTTGTTTATCTCAAGCGCAAATCTTAACAAGGTTAATGCTAGGTTTTTATATACTAATATTTTATTAGCCAAAATTCTAATCATATGAGATTAAACTACTTTAAAAAAACGCTCTTG